GCAGTAATCCCCTCAGTCTGTAACGTGACCCAACCTTGGAGGATCAGGGACAGGGTACCATTTGGGTTTTCCCCATCACCAGTGTTCCTCTGTACTCCTTTGTCTGGATGGAGAGGAGCATTTCACTACATAATCTGACAGGACAGATGCCCAGCTGTAGCAAATCAGCATAACTCCATCATCATGAAGAAAGATATACTGATATACAGTATACAGGCAAAATTGTGTAGCATACTTCAAATCAACCCATCCTAAAAAGGAGACTACAGAAACTATCCTGAAGTTTCAGAGGTGTCTTGTGGGTTTGGGTGCACAAATAAATCAGGGTTCAGTAATATGACTAGCAGTACTGATTCCATACTGCCCTGTTCTATGAAACAAAACCCACAAGACAAAAATGACACTTTTGGTCCAATGACCTTAACGCAGAAGATAAGCAAACACTGGACTTAATATTAAATGTCTTAAAAGTGCACCTTTGGAAAATTCTGTTGAAAGTACTTGTTTTCTCATGAGATCTGCTCCCTACTCTGCACTACTCAGTCCTCCTTCATTTTTAGAGGCTAAAACAGATCCTACAGTTTAGTTCAGTTAGCTGATACAGCTAAAGAGTATGTTGAATTATTTTTTGTGTGTGCGTGTATCAAAAAGAGACCTGCTCACTAAATCCCCAGAGTAATCAGCTATAAAGCCACTAGAGGCAAGAAGCATACATGTGTCACACAACATAACCCAAGGAAAGTGGACTTCGCTGTTATCACTGGTGCTGTAATGTGACCTAAACAATCTTTACTCCTAGTAATGATGCACAGTACTAAAATACGGAAAACTTATGTCAGAGTCTGTGTTAATTTCCAACAGTAATCTTCAAACAAGAGGTTTCTATTGGTAATCTGAAGACATCTGAGCTAGAATTCAAGGACAGAATTGCACAATTTTAGTCGCATCTTGGACAAAATCTGTACTTTTAATATATTGTTTATTCTTTACTGCAAAGTCATATGCAAATATCAAATAATTTAAGACTATCAATGTCTCCAAAAGGACCGAAGTATTCTTTCACATGCCTAATAACAACTAATACAAGTGTTCTTCCTACATATACACATATATATATATATATTCATATTACAGCATTGCAGGTCTCCACTAAAAGGTTTTACAGAAAGATATCTTGTCCCTTAGTTGTCTTTTTTTTTTTAAATCCAGATCTCTGTGGACCTTATAATATAATTATATTGTTGACCAACTCCTGGGTGTTGTGGTGCTGAGTATCACACGATCTGAGTCCTAGTACACTGTATAATACTCTAAATGTATTCCAAATCTGAAATTCACAATTTCTAAACAGACACATTTACATTCATGAGAGCTAGTTCATCTTATTCAGTGAAACTGATGAAAACAGATCTTGTTCCCCAACTTCTTGTAAAATACACCTCCACTTGCCCCAAGTTCTTCCATTCTGTCCCTTCTCTTCTTTTGGGAATGGCATCTTCCACTTCCTTTACCATCAGCCTAGCTTTATGTCCAAAGGCATAGGCCCCAGAGAAAGAAACACCCTACTGCTGTGCTTTACAGCGCTCTCAATCAAATCCTTAATTAAAGAGATCAGAAAATCCATGTGTCCCACTCAGCATTTTGCTTCACTTGCAATGACCAGCCAGAAAAGTCAAGCTGCATCTAAATCTAAAACCAAGACTCCTTGTTCACACATATATGACTGATGGCATCAGAAACTTCTCAGGCATCGATAACTTTAATTTTTATTAAGTAGCCTTTTTTTTCTTGAGTTAGATCTTTAAACAGCCACAGCAGCATACAACATCACATAAGATGTCTAAGGAAATTGTTTATTCCTAATACGAGAAGTGAAAAGAGGTATTATGTTATGTTCTATCATCACTAAGGGAAACAAAAGTTTAAGAATTCAAAAGGTGTTGTAAATATCTAAGTGTGACATGTATTACAGAGCCCAAATGCCTTCTTAGAAGTAGAATGTTATCCATTTCCCCTGTTATTCTGTGGAACTCATTTAGTGCTAGTAACAAGTAACCACCGCAGCTTTACCTTCAGTGAAGTGTAAATACTGTGCTATTACGTTCCTTATAGCTCCATCTACCAGAAGCAACCTCTTCATAACAGGCCACTGAGGTGCATCCTGAAGCACAGACTGCATTCTCCCCAAGTTCAGGATTCTGCAACCAAAGGAGGTAGAGCACAGAAACATTCTGTACTACAAAAAGTAGAGTTGCTGAAAAGTTATGGGATTTTTTTTGTTGGGCAGTGACTATAGCTATCACCTAATTTGTAGTCTCTTACAACAGCAGCAGTGCAGTAGTTTTTTATAAAAAAACAGAATTCCAAGATGTACTACTAAATTATTGAACAATTTGACTGCAGTCTCTCCCTTAACAGTAGATAATGGATTGTATCTTTCAGATTTAACTTCAGATGTTGATTTGTATAGCATGGATCATATCTCCTCCAATGAAGGACAGTTTCTGATATGAACAAGCAGAGCTATTACAAGCAATGCCAAATTGAAGGCAACATAACTGCCAGAAGCGATGCAAGTAATCTAATGTGCAGATAGAAAGAGAGAAGTATCAGTTCCTGTGCTCTGCCATAGACTTTTCACGAGGCACTGCCAGTTCTGACAAACATTAACTCCGTGTCTCTGCAACTTTTAAGTCCTGTGTAGAACCTTTGAGACCATTTTTAACAAGTCCTTTTTAAAAAAAAAAAAAAAAAAAAAAAAAAAAAGATAGGGAAACAGAGCTCTTAAACCACTTTATTCTGCATAAATCACACAGAACAATTGTCTTGGTTTTTTTTTTTTTTTTAAACGTACACTATGAATCAGAATACCTGAAATTAAAGCACAGTAAATATTTACAAGCTTGTAGTTGCACTTGTCCTGAAATGGGAATTGAAGGCATTTCCAAAGTTGCAACAAAACAGATTTCTACTAGATTAGTGACTAAGTACAGGAAGATTTGGGCTGCTTCAACAAAACTAATCATTCCGAATATGTACAGAACTTGTATCTTCATATAAACTGCTTACATTTGCATTAAGTGATAAGCCAAATGGAAAACTTGAAACACTAAAAGTGCAAAACCATTAAAAAAATCTTAGCCTCAGAGTGCTCTAGATAAGATTGGAAATTGCATATATAAGAACACATAGAATTACATTATAATTCTGTTCTCCATAATAGGCTTTGCCAAGATCTCCTGCACAAAATAATAGTCCTACAACAAAAATCCAAAAGATTTCAAATGCACTGGACTTGCTGCACATGTGTAGATTGATCCTTCAGCATGTGTCCATGAGAAGCATCACTGAGCAACAGCAACTATTTGTGGGAATTAGACTTTGTTTGCAGAATTTGGGTCCTAGTTCAAAATGCTTAATTATACACAGCTGCTGATTCCTGCAGGTCCTGATCACATACACAGGTCCTCTAAAACTGTAAGTAGTTGTACTCAATCACAGATTTAATTTCTTTTTCAGAATGTGTATGCATCAACACAATTATTTGACTATATATGAGGTTTTGAATTAAAGAAAAATAAAACCAAAAAAAACCAGACAAAAATCAGAAACCAATAAATGTAATGTGAAACTAAATATCCAAGTTGATCTGAACTTTGCAAGACAAGTTGCAGAAAGATAAGTATAACTTACAGATCATGAGATTCGGTATATCCTTCTGAGAGGTAGGCATCTGATTTCTCTTTCCATTGCTGGATCAGGGTATTTATCTCTGAAAAAAATTTCCTGGATTCTCTGTCATCTAGAAACTGAGACATTAAATCAGCTATGATTCTTTCAAGTTCCAAAAGGAGTTTCTGAGAGGGCCTGCTGCTGCTGAA